AATACGTTTGGCTCAGTTATATTTTTTACATTTAAATAACTTCTCAATATAAATAAACCATTTTAAGAAACAAAATTAACTCTAGGAACAATAAAACGTGGCAATTCAGAGTTTTTACAAACTGACTAGTCAAACATACTAATATATAATATCTCGACTAAATAATAAAATAAAATTAAAAATAGCACCGCGGTCACGAAAAAAAAACTTTTTTTTCATATTGCAACACCCTTAACATTAACCTTAACTGGCAACACAGCTAGACAGATCGGAGAAAAACGGTTCGTTTTCAAAAATCTCTTAAAATCTATTAAATATAGAAGAGGCTAAAATCTAAACTTTGTTTTTTTATTTTATTTCATTTTTTTTTTCACTTATTTTAAAAATTTTCACTTTTTATTTTTAAAAACATCGCTTCGCTTTTTAGAAAAATGACAAAAATTTATCTCATCTCGTTCACCATTCAAATTTCCCCTAAAATAGAATTTTGTACTTGTATATTAACGCCGAACCTTTATACTTATTTTCTTTTCAAAAAATCATGGGCATAGATTTATTATTTATATATATGTTTTCAACGCCTATTACCACTAACAATACTGCAATTTTAATATTGTATTGAATATCTTTAAGATAACAAAAAGTAACAAACATAAGGCCTGTAAATTCCCGAAGAGGTCCACAATTACCTATACAGGCTTTAAATATAGAACGCTCCCGGAACGCTGACAAAAAGGAAAAGGTTTACAAATTCAATTAGAAAAAAAAATGTTTTTTTACCATCGGCGTTTTTCGGATGCGATCCGTTTACACCCTGTAGAAATGTTAAAACCCACGGTTTTCATGTTCTGTGACTCACTAAGAAATCGACTGATTGGCATAAAAACATAAATACCTAAAGGTATATACTATGCCTTAAAAAACACGAAGTATTTGTTTCAAACAAATAAACACGGAATATAGAATACAATGGAAGTAGCTTGAAACAATATTTCTGCTATAACCGGTGTTTCCAAACTAATACATTTATAATTTACTCATACTATAAATCGGAAATTACGATTGGTTAGAAAAAAAATGGGCGTAAACGAAATGCAAAAAAAATATCATACGATATGCAACTTTAAAACCAATGTACTATAAATCAAAATAAAAAAGTATGTTTTGGACTACCAAGTACCGCCATTCGTCGCTAGATGGCGTTTAACAATGCCATCTAGCGACGAAAAGTGGTACTTGGTTTGAACTTTAACGTTGTAAGAATAAAGGTGATATTTGAATGGCTTATCACTGGCTCGAATGCGGGTCTCTACTCAGATAGTGATGTAGGATAATTCGATAAAAATAATATCGATAATATGAAAATGTGTTTTAAAAATAATATGAAAAAAAATATTGACTGCTATAGTGTGACAGTATTAAAATAATAAAATTAATATGTCGTTGATAACTTTTTAAACGTAACAAAAAAGGGTAAGTATTTATTTACATGTAAATCAAAAACCATTTTGTTCGTATTTTTTATTAGTTTCTTTTTTCAAAAAATCATTTTTTTTATTTCACATAGGCAATATAAGTAACAACTATTACATAAATTTTTACAAACTTTATATGGATAATGTGATAAATGAGAGGGATGGCGATAAGGATGACGGTGCTGATCTGCTCCGTGAAGTGAAGGTTGCTTCCAATCACGTCGGGGTCACCACTAAAATAATAATAAAAAAATAATCTAAATAAATGTTACATTACACTTGCATCGATATCAATCGATAAATTCAATATGTGATTTGACTATAACAATACATAACTATTTGAGTAGCGTAGAACTGGCGAGAATGTTCTATTGAATGGAATAAATCCAAAATAAACTTTATCTTGAAGGCGTAAGGTTGATTTTGACTAACCGTTTTAGTAAATAGTATTATTTTAATAACTGTTTTTGTAAATTGAAATAAAATAAGATTTCTACAAGAAAACAATAAAAATTGTACTTACCGATGATACGGAACACCTCCATTTTTACGATTTTTCGGCTGCTATCATTTTTACACGCCAAAACGGAACAAAACGGCATAGTTGAGGAAATATGCATTTGACACGAGACTAGCAACTCGACGCCATGTTCGAACGAGACTGAACTCAAATTTTGCCTCGAGTAAGCAGTACACAGCTTAGCTGTGGCACGCGTGCCACGCCTACTTGCTACTTCCATTGTATTCTATATTCCGTGCAAATAAATATATTACTTGTTTAACTTTCAAAATGACGTTTTAATTCATTAGATTTTTCAAATACAAAACTTTAATTGAACGATCTTTCATTTCAAGTCTTATTATAATAGGGAGTCTATTGTCAAAAATATAAATAAACTAACTGTACGCGCGACTTCGTTTGTGTGAAATGGTAGCCTAAGTTAATCAGCTACCTGCCAATAAAAATCCTGTCAAAATCGGTCTAACCATTTCAGAGAATAGCCAGAACAAACGACAGCCACTCAGAAAAAAACAATACAAAAAAACATTGGTGAATGTATCGAAGTATATTCATATTTTTATTTATTTATTTATTTTACATATGCATGTAGTAAAAAGCGGTTATTTTAATATTACAAACAGACACTTCAATTTTATTTATATATATAGATAAATAATAAATCTATGCCCACCCTCAAATCTCTAGCCTACATCACATTTCGCCAACGATCACAGACTTCAAACCCTGCTAGCAAAGTGCCAATGCTGAGATAACTATACTTTTAATACATATTTATAACTTACGGTGCACAGTTCAATGTAACACCCACTTTTCACTATTTATGTTATTATAATGCAATAGGTGGTGAGCGTAATGCCATATAACGGGCGCATTTCCAGACTCCTGCTACTACTGAGATTTTTTTTTAAACCCAGCAATACTTGCCAAGCCCAGTAATCGAACCCGAGACCCCTTGCCCGGCAGTCGCACTTGCGACCACTCGGCCAATGAGGCAGTCACACTTATTTATATATTTTTAAATATATTAAGAAATTATAAGGCCATTTTTCATATATATAGCAATCACTGTTGACAACTAAATTGAGAGCATTGATTTAGAAAATCGTATTTATCTAATTCATTTTAATAATAATATAATTAATTGTCAAATCGATGTATTATCGTGAATTTTATTCAAAATTATATATTGTATAGTTCCAATATAAGTAATATTATAACCGACTGAGTCGCATTTAATAAATATTTTAAACATTTCTTTATAAATATAAAATTTTCACTTTTCAAGCATTGTAATAGGCCTAGATACATTGCAATTTTGATTAAAATTTATTATAAATAAATGCTCTTTGAGTAGCATATATATCTTGCTTTTCTGACCCGCTCTTATAAGGGAGGCTTTTGTTCAGCAGTGACCATCTTTTCGCTGTATAAAAATTATTATTATCACTTACTAGCGACTCGCCCCGGCTTCGCATGGGTGCAATATCATGTATACATATAAACCTTCCTTAAGAAACACTCTATCTATTAAAAAAAACCGCATCAAAATCCGTTGCGTAGTTTTAAAGATCTAAGCATACATAGGGACAGACAGACGGCGGATAACGACTTTGCTTTATACTACGTAGTGATAGATTGTTGGCCATATCTTGGATTATAATCAAAGTAATTACGTCTTATATGAACTTTTTACAACCGATCTCCATCACCATGCAATCAACCACGTACTGGCCAGTACCTCCCACAATGCTCGTAATGACTACATCGCGAGGTTGGAAACGACCTGCATGCAACATGAATGAAGTGGAATCTTGCAACTAAAAAGAAGCAGATATCTTCAACTGATTGAGCTGAATTTTTGTATGCATTTTTTATGGGATAAGTCGGTAAACGAGCAGACGGATCACCTGATGGTAAGCAACCGGCGTCGCCCATGGACACCCGAAACACCAAAGGCGTTACAAGTGCATTACCGGCCTTTTGAGGATTAGGAATTTGAAGATTGTTGGGGATTAGGGAGGGGGGTTAATTGGGCCTCCGGTTGCAAGACTATACATGCTTAATTTAAAAGCTTGTCGCAAGATCTAGGTATACTTAAGCATCTCGTATATGTATATTATTTATAGCCAATATGACTATTGTATTATCACTAAAAAGTATTAGAGAGCATATTTTTGCTTTTTGAAAGCTTTTTTTAGTATTATATCAGCATTGGCACTCATACTATAACGATATTATATTTTAATTTGAAAATATATTAAGAGCATATAAACTGAACCACTATTTCATCAAGAGACCATTATCATCAAAGAGATTGTTAAAAAAAAGCGTCGTGGTTTTTCGGAGGTTTAAGACGCCCGCTTCTCATGCATGAGAGTACGGCCCGCGGTTTTTTATCTACGGAATTGTCGTTTGGACCGTAAAACAGCCGTTTGAAACGGCACCTTCGTAGATAACCCCTTATTTCATACTCTCAATAAATTTCCAAATTAAAATATCAACTTTTTATTGCACACTACCCCAAATCGAACCGTTTCCTAGCTTACAACAACAATATTTTAATTAATTTTTCATATCTAATAAGTAATATGAATAAAAACTTCACTAAAAACCGTCAAAACTAGCTCGCAATAAACTATATCCTTTTAAAAAACATCTATTTGTGAATAATTATTATTAATTATTTTAAAAAATTGACAGAGACACCATTCTCAATACTTTCGCTTAGATCATTTATTATGGTATAATTTTTATTCTTAATGCCCTCTTAGGCAAAGAGCATTAACGACTAGTCAAAGTATGGGATTGACATATACAGTTAACCGGCGCATCAAGCGAACTTTGTTTCAACCTGGAAAATATTCTGTGCATCTTTTATTTTTTCTTATATAAGAAAAAAGATATATAATACATATATATATGTATAAGAATCTTCTCTGTTTTTATAATAACTATCGTGAGACATATTAAATTAACTGAAAATGTGGGTTACTCACGTGAAAATACTGAGAAAAGCACTACTAGTTTCGAACCACTGAGGGGTTCTTCCTCATGAGCAACGTGCTACGGCTACGGTTACATAGGCTACGCGACACTAAGAGCTTTTCACAGTATTTTCACGTGAATAACCCGCGATCGATAAGAATTTTCTCCTAACAAGAGCAAATTAACAAAATCGGTTCAGCTATTCTCGAGATTTTAACTTAGCTACACATTCAGCAATTCATTTTTATATTATAAGAACACTATATCAAACCCATAGACAGATGTATCTATTCAATATTAACATATGTCTAAAACAAATCGAATTCTTGTAGAACACTTTCAGAATACCATGAATAAATGATCTAAGCAAATAGTGATCTAAATCCAAAATCTTTGGATCATAAATGTTCACATTAAGATCAAGTATCGACAAATCCTATAGAACATCTTTCAAAGACTTTGGATTATAACTGGGTATTAATTTAAAATTGTTTTTACAGAGCCGTATTGTCTTTAAGGTAAACTAGGCAAGTGCCGGGCGCCAGGCATCAGAGGGACGCGTGCCCAACTCCCAAAAAAATTTAGGAGCGCCTGAGGTGCTTGCCTAGGGTGCTCTGAAGGATTAATCCGCTTCTGTGTTCTCTGTCGACAAGATGGCGGCTTGTTATATGAATAAATAATAATAATAATTACCCACTTGTAATGGTCGAATGTCGTTGCTCCGGTTTACTGGACTTCTTTGTTTCTTCATCGTTTAATATGTGAGACATCGTCATGTGGCGTCTGGAAAAACATGTATACAATTTTATCGTAAAATCAATGCGTGAGAAGCCACGGGCACAAGTTAGTACTTTCATAGAAATTCAATTAATTTCACGTCTATGCTTAGAAGTGATAGTTTCAAGTTCGGCGCAAAGGTTATCGCATGAGATATACGATGACGGATCGCAGGTTCGATCCCAGCAATGATGCTGTTCTTTCCCTCCTTTTGCGAAGCAGTCATGCTAGCTAAGGAGGAGGCGGGGCGCGTGAGGCAACGAAGTGCTGCCTCCTCGCAAACCAGTCGTCGCGACACTACGAGCGGCGAGGATCGCGTGACGATCTCCGGCCACCGCAAACGCGGGCCTGCGGACGGCGAGCATGCGTGGCTTGCCGCGCGACCAGAACCAGACCCGAGCGTACGGCGCGTCGCGTTTCGCGCGCGCCTCAAAGAACCATCAGACCATCGCAGGTGGGGCCCAATATGGCTGATGATACGGAGCGGCGGAGAACCTAACGGGTAACCGGGGCTCCGACTCGAAGTGCAGGAGTAGGAACGGGGTGGTGTTTAGTCAGTAAGAGTCTGACAGTCCCTCCCGCCTCACCCAGGCGGGAGCAGTCATTCAATGATTTTCGTCCCATAAAAAAAAAATGCTTAGAATTGATACCACGGCTGATTACTTACCATCACGTTATCCATCGCCTCGTTTACCCCTATAGTCTAAACAATTTTTTTTTAAACCTTGACGCTGTTCATTTTAGCACCTTTAGCAATAAAATATTCTATACTAGCTTCTACTAGCGGCGTTGCCCGCGTTCCCGTGGGACAAAAAGTTTCCTATGTGTTAATACAGACCAGAATCTACCCCTGATACCATTTTCATCCCAATACCTTCAGCTGTTTTGTTTATACAAACATAGATATAGTATACATGGTCCTAGACACATTGCTTGCTATGCAGCAGAACACTTGTTTGTTTCTAAGACCTTAGTTTACTGCAAATAAGGTTCAAATTCTTATTTCTCACCTCAATCCTCTTTCTCCTCTAAAAGAAAGACTGCACATTGTACAGTTCTTCCACTCACTGGCTCCTTTCTCTTCTTTCTGCCGCAGAGAGGCGGCGCTTATATCTGTCACTTTCTGCTGGGAGGCGGGGCTAATTTCTGTCACAGTGTGATTGTAGGCGGGGCTTACTTCTGTCTTTTGCAGAGGGGCGGGGCTTACTTCTGTCATCTTCAGTGGTGTGGGGTTTCGTTCTGTTTTCGGTGGTGGGGATGTTTCTTCTGTCTTAGTTTGTGGCGGGATAGACTTTGGAGACTTCTTATCTTGTTGGATTTTTGGTTTTAAGTCTGTTAAGAAGAATTGTATAAATTAATATCAATTAATCCTGACTTACACTATGTTTTTATTTAAAGAAAGCTAGTCAAGTAAAATGCACTAGGACTTTTACAGATTTTAAAAGGACAAGGGGAAATGAAGTCTTGACTAAGTCAAGCCTCCAAGCTAGTATTACTATAAAATGATAAACACTTACCTCTAGTCAATATAACAATATTGGGCACTCCCATGACATTATCCGGTGACTCCGAGTTGATGCACTTGCTGTCCACCTCTATAATCCTGCTGAGAGGGACGGCCTCATCACTAGAGCCCTCCGAGTCACTCCGAGCTGACTTTGACTGGCGTTTCTTCACTCTTTTACGGAATCTGTAAAGGAAAGTAGACGTTCTTTCACTTTCGGATCACTTTCGGGCCAGGGATCTCAGGACAATTTTTTTAGGAAATCAGTTTTATTATCACCTCCCGGGAGGAATACGTCGAGTTACAAATCACTCTGTATATGTCTATCTATCTATACTCACCGCTTCCTAGGCCTCTTATAAACAGTAGTGGCACCTTTCTTCATCTTGGTCTCCTCATTATTGTTGATATTGATATATTTCTCGCATGTTACCGTCGGCCGCTCGGCCTCCGTGCTGCTTGATATGGAGTCACTCTTGTCGCACGCAAACAGGTCTGTTTCATTACTGAGGTCGTTGCTGTCTATTTGGTCACTGTAAGAGATCGATACATTTATTAGGTACCAGCTTTTACCCGCGGCTCTGACTGCGTACTCCGGTTTTATTTCATGGGAGCATTTTATCGGGATCAAAAGATCCTATCACCTAAGTTAGCCCATACCCCATCTGTATACCTAATTTGATCAAAATCCGTTCAGTAGTTTCAGCGTGATTGACGGACAAACATCCAAATAAAGAAACTTTTACATTTATGATATTAGTGTGATGCATTTTATTGTACACTAGCTGTTCGGCGGCTTCGCCCGCATTCCCGTGGGATAGAAAGTAGCCTATGTGTTATTTCAGACTATGATCTACTCCTGTTCCAAATTTCATCCCGATCACTTCAGCCGTTTTGACGTGATTGAGTGACAAACAAACAAACAAACAAACAAACAAACAAACACACACACACACA